TGTGAACCATCAGTGTGTAAAATACAGAAGTAGAAGAAAAAAAATCTGCATCCATGAGGCATGGCACAGGAAGGCTTTCATAACTAGAAGTAAAACTAGAAAATGTTTTTAAATTAATGGTAATAGAATATAGCAAATCAAAATTTGTTGTATGGTTCTATCAGTGCAAAGCTTTCTAAAACAGTTTGTCACAATTATATTAGATATTGATAAAGCAGTACTTAGAAATTTAAAGTAAAGGTGAGGCTTGACTAAAAACAGGCATGAGGAAGCTCTCTGGAATGATGGTAATGTTCTATACCTCAAAAGTTTAGGCTACACAGAGGTATGTATTTGTCAAAATTCAACAAATAGTACTTCTAATATAATGCATTTTATTATATGCAAAATTTACCACTAAAGGATAAAAAGGAACTATAAAGACATTTTCAACTATAATGAACTATATGCATGCTAAAGTATTTAGAAAACGTTATACTAATATATACAAATGATTTTGATATGCAAAGATGCATTCAAGAGTAGATAGATTTGTGAGAAAGCAAGTATAGTAAAGTGTTAATGGTAGACTCTAGATGGTTGGGTATATGGGTTTTCATATTCAAACACATGTAACTTTCTGATATGTTTGAAATACTGCTTAGTAAAATGTTTAAAAAATTGTGCTGTATGAAAGCATACAGACACAAAAGAGTACAGACTGTTAGATTCCACTGATATGATATTTAAGAACAGTCAGAACTATGGGGAGAAAAATGAGAACAGTGATTTACAAAAGGAATGGGAATTGACTGCACGGAGTAAAAGGAAATATGCTGGGGTAACAAAAGTGCTCTATGTGGTATAGGTGTTTACAGGGACACATATATTAGATTCATCATATCTATACTTAAGAATGGTGCATTTCACTCTGTAAATTTTGACTAAATAAAAGCAATAGTTTTTATAATAAAAACTCAACAAAATGGGTAGAGAGGGCAAGTACCTCAACATAATAAAGGCCATATATGACAAACCCACAGCCAACATCATACTGAACAGCGAGAAGCTGAAAGCTTTTCCTCTAAGATAGGGAACAAGACAGGGATGCCCACTCTCCCCACTGTTATTCAACATAGTACTGGAGGTCCTAGCCATGGCAAGCAGACAAAACAAAGAAATACAAGGAATCCAGATTGTTAAAGAGGAAGTCAAACTGTCACTATTTGCAGATGACATGATATTGTACATAAAAAACCCTAAAGACTCCATTCCAAAACTACTAGAACTAATATCTGAATTCAGCAAAGTTGCACGATACAAAATTAATACACAGAAATCTGTTGCTTTCCTATATACTAATGACAAATTAACAGAAAGAGAAATCAGGAGAACAATTCCATTCACAATTGCACCAAAAAGAATAAAATACCTAGGAATAAAGCTAACCAAGGAAGTCAAAGTCCTATACCCTGAAAACTACAAGACACTCTCAAGAGAAATTAAAGAGGTCACTAACAAATGGAAACTCATCCCATGCTCTTGGCTAGGAAGAATTAATATTGTCAAAATGGCCATCCTGCCTAAAATAGTCTACAGATTCAATGCAATCCCTATGAAAATACCAACAACATTCTTCAATGAACTACAGCAAATAGTTCAAAAATTCATATGGAACAACAGAAGACCCCAAATAGCCAAACAATCCTGAGAAGGAAGAATAAAGCAGGGGGGAATCTCGCTTCCCAACTTCAAGCTCTACTACAAAGCCACAGTAATCAAGACAATTTGGTACTGGCACAAGAACAGAGCCACAGACCAGTGGAACAGAATAGAGAGACCAGATATTAACCCAAACATATATGGTCAATTAATATACGATAAAGGAGCCATGGACATACAATGGGGAAATGACAGCTTCTTCAACAGCTGATGTTGGGAAAACTGGGCAGCTTCATGTAAGAGAATGAAATTGGATCATTGTCTAACCCCATACACAAAAGTAAATTATAAATGGATCAAAGACCTGAATGTAAGTCATGAAACCATAAAACTCTTACAAAAAATCATAGGCAAAAATCTCTTGGACATAAACATGAGTGACCTCTTCATGAACATATCTCCCCAGGCAAGGGAAACAAAAGCAAAAATGAACAAATGGGACTATATCAAGCTGAAAAGCTTCTGTACAGCAAAGGACACCATCAATAGAACAAAAAGGTACCCTACAGTATGGAGAATATATTCACAGATGACAGATCCAATAAAGGGTTGACATCCAAAATATATAACGAGCTCACACACCTCAACAGACAAAAAGCAAATAATCCAATTAAAAAATGGGCACAGGATCCGAACAGACAGTTCTTCAAAGAAGAAATTCAGATGGCCAACAGACACATGAAAAGATGCCCCACATCATTAATCATCAGAGAAATGTAAACTAAAACCACAATGAGATATCACCTCACACCAGTAAGGATGGCCACCATCCAACAGACAAACAACAACAACTGTTGGCAAGGTTGTGGAGAAAGGGGAACCCTCCTGCACTGCTGGTGGGAATGTCAATTGGTCAACCATTGTGGAAAGCAGTATGGAAGTTCTTCAAAAAACTCAAAATAGAAAAACCATTTGACCCAGAAATTCCACTCCTAGGAATTGACCCTAAGAATGCAGCAGCCCAGTTTGAAAAAGACAGATGCACCCCTATGTTTATCACAGCATTCTTTACAATAGCCAAGAAATGGAAGCAACCTAAGTGTCCATCAGTAGATGAATGGATAAAGAACATGTGGCACATATACACAATGCAATATTATTCAGCCATAAGAAGAAAACAAATCCTACCATTTGCAACAACATGGATGGAACTAGAGGGTATTATGCTCAGTGAAATAAGCCAGGCAGAGAAAGACAAGTACCAAATGATTTCCCTCATCTGTGGAGTATAAGAACAAAGAAAAAACTGAGGGAACAAAAGAGCAGCAGAATCACAGACCCCAAGAATGGACTAACAGTTACCAAAGGGAAAGGGACTTGGGAGGATGGGTGGGAAGGGAGGGATAAGATGGCGGGAAAAGAAAGGAGGCATTATGATTAGCATGTATAATGTGGGGGGGGTGCACAGGGAGGGCTGTACAACACACAGAAGACAAGTAGTGATTCTACAGCATCTTACTACGCTGATGGACAGTGGCTGTGATGGGGTATGTGGGGGGGACTTGGTAATGGGGGAAGTCTAGTTAACATAATGTTCCTCATGTAATTGTAGATTAATGATACCAAAATAAAAAAATAAACTAAAAAAAGTAAAAAAAAACAAGTTTTTAAAAATAGGTTATTATATTGATATCAGGCATGTTAATTCAGAGACAAGAGAATTAAACAGTACAGTGGAGGGTCCTTCATAATCAGAAAATGAACAACCATGTAGAAGTTAGGTTATGAATTTTATGTACCAAATACTATAGCATCAAAATATACAGTATAATAGCACAAGTAGAATAGAGTCAGACTCCACTGTTGTTTAACTGCTGAAAGTTTTCAGGCCCCAGTCCTCCTGCCTTACATGTGGGCAAGGTAATATGAAGGTCTAGGTGCTACCTTCTTTGGTACTGGTGGGAAGTTCAGACCTTGCAAGTCTGGCCCACACGGGAGAGCTTCCCTTCAGCTCCAATCCCTATCTATGAGGAAAACCTCTGGCCAGTCTCCTCTCTCTGCCCTTTCAAGCCATTGGCAGACCTCCTCAGGAGTCACCTAACTATCTCTGGAAAGCCTTATTACATGAGTGATAAATCATGTCAAACTCTTTTGGTGCATATGTGGTATATCAGTCTTGACATTTGTACCAAATTTTGGGTGAGAGGGTCCATTCTGCTTCTGGGGAGTGACCACTTAAAACAGGGCATACCCTGGAGGTCATAGAGGTATCCTTGAATTTACCTCTTTTGCCCTCAAAATGTCATGTAAACAAATGAAACTTTTCACCAATTTTTCCTAAATAACAAAACATCCCATTATTTGGAGCTGGAAAACCAGTTTGTGGTTGCTCACAGTTCTTAGTGTTGACTGCATTCAGGTGAGTGGTTCTCACTAGGTTGCCATTAAATGCCATGGACAGAACCCACTGAAGTCTTCTTCCCTCACATGTCTGGGTCCTGGGCTGGGTAGCTGGAAAACCTGGGAGCCACTGGACTCTACATGGTTTAAGGTGTCCTCGCAGCACGTCATTCTCAGGTTAGTCACACTTACGGATGTCTGGCTTCCCAGAGACAGGAGATGGAAGCCACCAGGTCTGTTCCGTGCTATGCCTGGAACTGGCACACTGCCATTTCTGCAATATCTTATTGGTCAAAACAGTCCCAGGTTTTGCCAAGATTCAAGGCGGTAGAGAAGCAGGCTGTTCTTTTTGATGGGACAGTAGAAAAGTCTCATTGCAGAAGAGCATAAGGCATGGGAGTTAGTATTGTGGAACCTTAGGAAAATATTATCTTCCACAATGAGGATAAAGGACTGTTTCACGTAACCTAAAGTAGAGCTAACTGATGTATGTTGAGCAGTATAACTTGAATCAGTTTTCATTTAACCCTACACTCTATGCCAATACACATAAAACATTCATGACACTGACCATACATAAAAATTCATACATTCACCAGAATTCTCACAAACACAAAAAAGTCATAGAAGCAGGGCAGACAGCATTTTCAGATCATTATATCTGATGAATAATAGTTTATTACAAAACTAGACAAGCAAATAATTATCCCCCCTGGGAAATTAAAATGCAAGAATAATTTTAAATCATCTACTAAACAATTGATTCACAGAACAAATTACAACTAAAATGGTAGAGTCTCAGGAAATAACAAGGAAAATGTTATAAATAAGAAACTAGGATAGAGGTCCATCACAGCTTAGAGATAAGTTCACATGGAAATATTAGGATAGGCTTATGGCTGTAACAAATGATCTACATGTATAGTGGCTCAAATACAGTAGAGGTGTATCTTACTCACATGAAAGTACAGTATGGGGTAAGAGTTCACAGGGCTGCTCTCCTCCACACAGCCATTTGGAGTCCCTGGCTAAAGGAGGTTCTGCCATATTAAATTTCTGGCTTACTGGGTTTCCCTAGGTGTCATCTCAGTTCCACCCACCTAGAAGGACGAAAGAGCAGAAAAGAATGGAGAGCGTTTTTTGTGTTTTTTTTTTAAGGAGGCAGGACTTAAAATGGCACAGCTCACAATGCATTGGCTAGAGCTCAATCACATAGCTTCACATAATTGCACCTCTAGGAAAGATGAGTTAAAGGAGCAGAATCAATATTTACAAATGTAATCTTTCCATTAACAAATGTTTACTGAGTTCTTAGTATTTACCAGGACTTGTGCTAGGAATTTGGGAGTTAATGATGACTACAAGTGAGACACACCATACTCTTGTGAATCTTAGAGTCTAATGAGAAAACATGTAATTATAACAATATGTGAGTTATGACATACTTGTACAATGGAATGTTTTCATCAGTGGAAGTGAATTAGAGCAGTATCAACATGTATACATCTTAAAAACAAGTTGCAGGAGGTTACATCGTACAGGACATGTAAATATGCACATATGTATTATTTAGGAATCCTACACATCAGTAATTAAGACATGTATGTCCGTGATAAATACCAAATTCAGGAGCGTCGTCAGCCCTGAGAAGGTGGAAGGGTGAAAGAGGACAGTGAGTGTAATTTGAAGGAAGTTCAGGGGACATTAATTTAATTTGTATTCTTATTTTTATTTCTATTTATTTTTGACAAAAACTGTAATTAAGGCTCAATGTGATATTTTGATATATGTATACATTGTGAAATAATTACCACAATCAAACTAATTAATGTGTCCATCACCTCTCATAGTTACCATTTTTCTGTGGGTAGTGAGAACATTTGAGATGCACTCTCAGCAAATTTCAAGTATTTAATATATTACTAACTATATTAATAATAATACATTATTAGTAGTAGTATACAGTTACCATGCTGTATATTAGGTTTCCAGAACTTATTCTCCCTGTAGCTGAAAGTTTGTACCGTTTGATCAATATCTTCCCTTTTCCCCCACCCACAGCCCCTGGTGTCACTATGAATTTGACTTTTTTTTTCTTTTTGTAATGCTTGCTTTGTTCTTTACCCTGGTCATGGAAACACAGGTGTTCATTACATAATGCTTTTCATGTTTTTGTATGCCTGAAATTTTCATAGTGCAAAGAAAATTCTGAATGCATGTCAAAAGAAAACCATAATCCTATGCATATATCCAGTAGTAAATTCATATACAAGTGCTTTTGTTATAATCATCATTAAGTATTATAGAAAGCATTTTAAAGAGTGTGGGGAAAACATGACATTCGTCATTCACTGGTACAAACAGTGACTGTTACTATGCTGGACAAGGATGGAAAGTTCAATGATTGGATTAGTGACTCATGAACATCTCCTGGATAAGAAATGAGTTTCTTATATGGCCAACCTGGCCATCTCTGCTTCTGTCTTTTCAGACAATTCCCCTTGAAAATGTCCCTCAATCCCATTGACAAATTAGTAAGGGTTTCCCCTGCTGGAGCAGGTTGCGAATTTCTGTTAACTTAGAGGGCCATTATTTCTTGGGGCTGGCCTTGGGGATTTAGGATTGATTAATAGTCTGAGCAACCAGAAGTCATTGCCACATTTGTTTTTTTCTGGAATTACAGATCAAATAAAATTAGTTGACTGCCTGACAATTCATTCTGGAGAATTTTATTTGATAGTCACTAATGCCAAAAGCACCATTGGGTCATGCTGTTTGAATCTCAAGGTGAGCAAATGGGAAAAACAAGGATATGCTAACCCCTAGGGCTTCTTTTTTTCTCCTGGATGCAAAGCTTTTTGGTTTTGCTCCCTGCTTAATGATTTTGACCTTACGGATTGGATAAGAAAACCATTAGGCTAGGGTGCTGGTTTGGGAGACATCTCTAATCCTCCTTAGAGTGTAATGTCGGCTTCCATGCTGAACTCCGGCATACCCATTATCATTTATTTTTCCTTAGTAGAGGCAGTGCAGGAGACGCAGTGGGGAGGCCCCAGGTTCCTGGATTCTCCAGTTCCTCTGGCTCCTCCCAGATAACCCCATTCAAACCGATATGGTGTATGTTACATAATATCAGCACACCTATTATAATTTTAGACACTGGCTGCAGCAGAGAATTTGACTAATTTAATTCAGCAAAGTTCATAATTATAGATATTTCAGCAGTATCAGTAACACTGGCTAAAGTCAGAAGGGACTTCCTTAAAAAAGCTTTTTTCTCTGCCATCCATTCTAGTCTTTCAAGTGAACAACCATGGATCGCAACACTTATCTTTTACGTTTTTTTAATCTTTTGGCATCCTGGCAAGAAATTGATGGCATGTTCAAAATGAGTAATTTGAAAATAAATTAATAAAGGGACTATGAATATAGGTGTGTTTGGGGTTTAGAAATCCAGTGACAGAAGGTGTGGTTTCCCCAGACTAAAAACAGTGGGTAGCTCTTACCACCTTTAGATCTAAAAGCACAAAGGGAGGGACCAGTTACTGAAACCTAGCAGGAAGATGTGTGGAGAGGGCTGCCTGGCAGGAGCTGTGGGCTTCCACGGAATGACTCAACCATGGTGACCCAACAAAGTAGGAACCATTGGAATGAGAGCCCTAACCACATTTTTCTTCTTCTGTTCATCTGTTTCCTTCTGTCCAATCCCAACCAGATGCCAAAGGTCAAGGGAAAACACTGATGCAGTCCAATGGATCAGCCTACTATGCACAGATCGGGGTGGAGAAGGGTGAAGGGTGGTTCTAAAGGGGCAAATGTAAGTTTCCAGCATACCTCACTCTCTTGTAGTTTTCTTTTTAAGAATTTATTTTTTTAAAGCTGTTTTAGTTTCACTGCAAAATTGAGAGGAAAATACAGATTCACCATATACCTCTTACCCCTACACATGTATAGCCTCCCCCATTAACAATATCCCCCACCAGAGTGATACATTTGTTACCACTGATCAACCTACAGTGACATATCACAATTACTCAAAAGTCCATAGGTTATTTTAGGGTTCATTTTTTGGTGAATAAATATGGATAAATGTATAATGACATGTGTTCATAATTATAGTGTCATACAAAATACTTTCACTTTTCCAAAATTCCTCTGTGCTCTACTTATTTATCCCTTTCCCCTACCAAACCCCTGATCTTTTTCCTGTCTCCACAGTTTTGCCTTATCCAGAATGTCATATAGTTGGAATTATACAGTATATGGTCTTTTCCGATTGACTCTTTTACTTAGTAATATTCATTTAAGGTTCCTCTATGTCTTTTTATGGCTTGATAGCACATTTATATTTAGCACTGAATAACTTATAGTTGCTTACCGAAGATCACAAGAGTAGCTCACACACTCTGATACAATGACAAGTTTCCTAGAAAACTCAAGCTTAAGATACAGTGATTACATATGCTGAATCTTATACTCTAGTTCACATGGCCAATGGAAGATATCCCACATTCTCTGAGATTTAGTGATAGTTACAGAAAGCCTAGGAAAGTCTGAATCTTATTTCATTGTCCTAATCCCAAATTCTGGGAATAAGGTATTTATTAAGTGTAGATTGGTTCAGGACCAGATTAACTGATAAATAAACTATTTCAGATTGGGATATATACAAGGCCACAAGCAAAAATACAGTTGCTTAGAGCCACCTCTTTAATCATGTATATCAGGGCATGGGATATTCAAGTCATCATATTTATCTATGTGATATATTCTATCCTAATATAAGCTATCATTATAATACAGTGAAATGATCTTCAGACTCAGGTTCGTTACTCTGTGACTTATAAGCCATGCGTTATTCAGTAAGTCACTAAACTCTGTGAACCTCAATACCATTATCTCTAAAATTGGCTTTAATAATACCTGCCCAACTACGCATTGGGTTTTCATGACCAAAGTGCTATAGGTAAATTATTATATATGAATAAAATCAGAATATATGTGAAAGCTCTTTCAGAAATTATGTCTTTCAGAAACTGTAAGCTGTTTGCATTGCTTAAACAGCAATTTCGTCTGTTGTTCTTTTTTTAACTTCTCAAGTTAGATGCATACATCATTAATTTTCGGTCTTTGCACCTGTTAAATAAAGAAGTAAATGCTATACATTTAACTTAAAATATGACAGCTGAATCCCATTAGTTTTCATATGGTTATTTTCATTATCACTCAGTTCTAAATGTTTCCTAATTTCCATTTTCATAACCCTTTGTTCCAAGAATTTTTCAGATATGATATGGTCTTAGAAAAATCCAAATCTACAGATTTTTAAAATTTATTTTTCTTTTTAATTTCTAACTCAATTTCATTGTGGCCAGAGAATAAGGTTTGCATTCTTTGAAATATAACATGTTAGATTGTTACTTTGGTGGCCCTCAACGAACCACAGTTCCTTTTATTTCTTCCCTTCTATAATATCCCTACCGTATGACCCTGTGCTCAGCCATGTGATAAGCTATGGACAATGGAACATTAGCAATCATGATGAAAGGCAGAACCTGAGAAGCACCAACAATTAAAGTTTCTACTCTTGGAATATTCCTTCTGATAACCCAGCTACCATGCTGTAAAAAGCCACATGGAAAGGCCATGTTTTGGTTATCTGTTGCTGTGTAACAAAATACCCCAAAACTTAATGACTGAAAACAACAATTTCTTATTTCTCATTATTTTATGAATTGGCTATCTGGTTCTTCTGCTTAATGTGATGGCAACGGGGACACTGTGGCAGCTGGAGTGTCCAAAGTAGATTAATTCATATGACTGGCAGATGTCTGGGAACGCAGCTGGGTCTGTTGGCCAGGGGCCTTATTTCCTTCCCATGTGGGCATTCCCAAATGATTGTTTGGCCTTCCTCCCAACCTGGCAGCTGTGTTCCAAGGAGTGTTTTAAAAGGACATGACATTACTTAATAGCACATCCAATAGTCCAAGGGAAAAGGTAGCAAACAGGCAAAGGTAACAATGTATTTGAGAAGCATAAACTTAAACAAAAATCTAGCATTCTAGAAATGGATTCCTCAAAAGCAAAAGTATTAGAACCT